TCTCTATAATCTTATTTTTATATATGTTCCAGGAGTATAGTGATATTTCAAATTTTTAATTTTTTTTATTAAAACTCTAAAAATTAACTGAGGAAAATTTTAATTCCAATAAAAACCACCTATAATCATTTCTTGAAATTTCAAAATTTTAAAGTTCTTAATTATAATTAATGTTCTTAAAATTATCCTTAAATCTCATTTCCCCCTCATCATAATGTCGAATAAAGATGCATCTTTTTGCCCAACATAGACTAGCAGTAGTAACCGGTAAGTTGGATTATCATTTTCTTTCCTTCTTGTTCATTAGTAGGACAATACATTATATAATTTGAAAGTTCGTTGGCATCTAAAATGGCGCAGATTGGGGCAATTGGTTTTTGATTCTCAAGTCTCAATGTAATTCACAGTATCTTCAAAATTAAAATATAATAGAGCATTTTTTTGCCATTTCTTTCTTTTCTTCTCTTTTGTTTTGTTTTTTAAATGGACGGTGGATTCGATATTTATATCGCAATCCAATAATCAACTTGCTCATTTTTTCATAATACCAAATGTGACCCACTAAAGTCCCATTAGAATGCCCATGCAAGACGCGTTCTAAATACGTGCTCCGTTCAATTATTATTTAAAAATATATCTAACCACTTAATTGGAGTTAAAGAAATGTAATTGAATTATTAATTTTGTCTAATTTTTTATTTCGCCGGTATTTAAATTTAATATTCTCTCTCTTGATTCATTATTTTAAAGGGAAAATGACAATTAGAGACCCCTAAGGCCATTAATTACAATTAGGAACCCTAGATTATTAAAAATCTTAATAATGGACCATGATCCTTATTTAGCACTAAAAACATACATAATTTTATAAAATTGCCTTTCACTTGAAAAATAAAAAAATAATACTGCTGAAATTATTATTGTGAAATGAGAATATTATTATCAAATGAGAACAATAATTATAAATGAATTGTTTTTCAGTACAAAACTAAAATTCACTTTTGAAACTTTCTAATGACACTTGTAAATATATAATAGTCACTTGAAAATTTATTTGAGTTACTTTTGTATATGAACAAAATTATTTGTGAATATTTATGCTTGTTAATATACAGCCAGACTACTTAAATATAAAGAAATGACACCGTTAAAATTATTATTATGGGATGAAAATATTGTCAATATTAATTGAGAAATCAAAGAATAATAGTTGAGAACGGATTGTTTTTTAATATAAAACTAAAATTTACTTTTAAAACTTTTCAAGAGCATTTGTGCATTTACAATAGTCATTTAAAAATTTATTAAAGTCATTTTTAAAATTTTTTTTAGATTATTTGTATTTTTTAATTTTAAGTAAGGATCATAATTTATTATTAAAATTTTAATAATTTAAAATCTCTAATTATAATTAATAATCTTAGGGTTTCTAATTGTCATTTCCCTATTTTAAATAGAAAGTCATGACTTATAATAATAATAGCCACACACACCTCCGAGAACAAAACTTGTGTGGGTTATGGTTTAAGAGGGCTACAAAAATTACGCATAATAATATAAAGTATTTCAATTGTCTCATTTAAAAATTTCAATTGCCACTTCTCCCTTATTCCCTACAAAATTTATTTAAGTCAATTCTTATCTGGAAAGTCACATTCAACAATCTAAAAAAAATTATTTATAAATAAAGATTAACAATAAATTTCATTTAAAAAAAGTATCATATTCTTATTTTAATAATAATTTATTTTATATTATTTTTTATATATGAATAATTGTCTTCTTAAATCCTTAGATGTGATTTTTTCAATCTTATTTATATGGTTTTTTTTGTGATCAATGAAGATTTTTTATATTTTTTGTTTAATTAAAAATTAAAATTAACTTTTGTTGATGTTGGTAACCTGATTGTATTATTTTTAAAAATAAACAATATTGGCCAAAAAATAAATTTAAGATTTTAAATATTCCTAATTCATGAGTCAATTTAAACGCTGCTGTGGTGGACGTGTGGTATTGGCATGACGAAGAATGAAATCGGACGCGCCGAGGGTTTTGTACAGAATAGTGGGAAGGGGAATTTAAGTCGGGTTGTCAGAGAGGGTCCCATTCGCTTTCCGTACTTTGATCGAGTGGAAGTTTCAGGTAATCTCCAGCTAGCGTCAAGTAGGTTTTATTTTCCAATCGTCTCTTGCCACCTCATCTTCCACAACTTACATATAATCTTCAAACTTGGGCCCCCATTGAATTTGCTCGGACAGGCCTATTTCTCGTATCTTTAACGCTCAAAAGGAACTTCTTCAAATTCGGCCTAAGACACTTTATCAAAAAGAAGAAGGGGGGAAAAAACGCATCGGCCTAAGGCAATTCGCCGGTGCAACCGTGCAGGGGATCTGTCTGACATATATTTCCTCTTTTTAAAAATATAAAATATTTTAATTAAATTTTATTTTTAATAAAATAATTATTTATTTTTAAATTAATTTATTTTTTATATTTATTTTTATTAAATGTCTATAATAAATATAAAGTCACTATTAATAGGGACACTTTAAAAAAAAGACAATGATTATACCTCGAAAGATTAAAAATATCTTACATTTTTTAACATTCAACTCCTCAAAAAATGCCTTATATTTTTAAATGAAAGAGGTAATATATAATACCTGCTAAATTAAATATTTATTACACTGGCTAAAAAATATATTTTTAACCATTCAATATATATTACGTTTCAATGTCAACCTTCAATTGGATTGATTATAGGAAACTTAAATTTATGAATGTAACCATTTTTATTTTTAATTAAATAATGTAGCAATGTTAGAAGATGTTAAAAAATTCAAAAAAGTTGAATTATAGTATAAAATTGGAGGACCAAAAATATACTTTCACATAATATATTTCTATTATTTGATAAAAATTCTCTTTATTTAGTGCCGGTTTAGTGAGAAAGAAGAAATAAGTTTTTTGAAAGAATTAAATAGTAAATTCAACAAAAAAGTAATAGAATTTATTACATTGAATAGAACTTTAAATTTCAATAATGTATTTAAATCATTTAATTTTCACAGGGATGATAAAATTTTCACCAATTTAATGATAATTTATATTAAGAAGAAAATTACTAAAACATTTATCATAGACATAATAATTAATAATTTTTATATCATGAAAAATCAATGAGCAAAACTTAAAATATATATTGTTATATTTGTATAAAATTAAATATAAATATATATGTTGAAATATTTATATCTTGTTGGTAATATATATACTTAACTTTCCTTCAATATTATATATACTTTATCATCTCAATTCTCCTTAATAAAAATTGCCGGCTTCATCCCTGCATATATTGACATTATAAATGAAATTCTTATCAATTTGACCCGTGTTTGTGCTAATCGTAAAGGAATTTAACAAGTTACTTCAATTTTTTGGACATCAGGAAATGCCAATAATTTCTGTTTTCTTTTCTTTTCACATGCATGGATGCATACACATAGACATCCATAAACCATAATTGTAAGATTTACTTGAAACCCTCCATGCATACACATACACATCTATGATGCAGACTTGATTTGTTGGGTTAATATTATCATGACTAAATATTTTCAAAATTTTGAATTATACACGTATTAACAATACCAACTCTAAATAAATTAGATAATGATCTCTCTAACATTTAAGATTATTCAATTAATAGAGGTTAGATTTAATAAAAGGAGTTAGTATTTCATAACGAAATAAACTAAGGTTTAAATTTCTGTTAGAAGAAGTGTTACATTTAGCCCACAACAATATTTTGAACATAATTAATTAATTACTTTTAATAAAAGAATACATGTAGGTAAAAAAAGTAGTTTAAATTTATACAGACAAACTTTACCATTCATTTGTCTATGATTTCACCAATCAAATGTTAACACAAGAAAGGTGGTACATGACGCATATTTTATAACAATATTTTCAAAAAGTTTGTAAAAATTGCTTGCACATAACTTTGAAGTAGTTATTTTTCTTTTTTTAACAACTTTGAAGTAGTTATTTACACAAGAAGTTTATTAAGGTACGTAATCAATCATATATCATATTCTTCCATTGAAATACCATACTAAACCAACAATTATCTGCACATCTTGAAAGTTTAGAGTGATTTTTTTTTATTTGAAAAATCAAAATGATTTGTATATGACTCAAAATTTTGAAACATGTTGCACAATTTTGCCCATTTTTAGATTTGTAATCAGGAATAAAATTAATAACATCTCAAAAAGAAAGTCTCTATCATTAAAGAATATGATAAGTACCAAAGTTCCTTATCAATTGATTATAATTTATAATGCAGAAAGTGCATATTATTTTAATTAAAAAAATCTAATACAACAAGTGTTAGTTTTTAGAAGAGACTACAATCACTTAAACGAGATTCACGTTTGATTTCGCGGAAATACAAGAAACGCTTTTAGGAAAATTTTTCCTTCACCTAAGCCACACTATTTTAATTTGTCCCAGTCAGATAGCATTAATCCAAAGAAAAAAAAAAATCAAAGGCAAAAACACCAAACCAATACTTTATTTTTTTTATTAACAAATCATTAACGTGTTTGCATGACTTCAAGAATTGTTAGTAGCACAATTCATCTCAAACTCGTTGCATCACTTTAAATGTTAACCATGAATGTCTTGAACAATAAAAAAACCAATATGCATATATTTGTTTACATCTTATTTATTTATTATTTAAATTCTTCTCTATAAAATTTTACTTAGACTAAATACATGTCTTGCATACATCATACCAAGTTTATAAAATAAGTTGTAATATTTATTGTTTATAAATAGTATGACTTTACACACACTATGCACAATTCAAGCTCTCTCTTCTTGCAAGTTGCCACCTACTAAAGCACATCACATTACTTGTTTCATTGTTTATATACACCAAAGAATCAAATTATAATCACCACATTACTTATTTAGAATCATACAAGTTATGTTCCAAAATAGATCTTCCAAATAATATTAATATTAATGTCATATGAGATCCAACATCTAGTATAAACATAAAAATTCATGCATATCCATATTAATTAATTAGGTAATGATAACCAAAATATGTCACTCGAGAGTTGCCAGTCATAGCACAGGAAGAAAAGACGTACCACTCTGTCTAGAGTTGAATCAACAACACTCAACTCTAATAGGAACGATCGATCAACAAAATTTAACTATTGCTCGAGGGAGACATCCCTGAACCAGAACCAGTTAGAATTCACTAGGGAGAACATTGAAGAAATGATAAACTTCATCTTCGTCAAAGACACCAACCTCTGTCGAGCAAACAGAGCAACATACTTGCTTGACTGTTTCAATACTAGTAGAATGTTCCTCAGTCCCATCAATTGCCTTTCTTCCACTTTTGCCTTTTATTTCTCTTGAATTATTTTTAATTAAAACCCGGTTATTCTCAACCTTTATGTTTATAACAAAAACAGCTCTGTACTGGGTCACATATTTTTCATGCCTGCAATAATCAAATGAAGCTCAGTCACAAGTCACACCAAACAATAATAAAAATTTAATTAGTTCAGGCACAATATTAACACTCCAATGTAACTAGGCCTATGCTTGGAAATCCATTAGATACAACTTTTTGCAATTTACGAGACAAAGTTACTCTCACATTACTTTATTTAAAGATTAAGATTATCAGGTTTCCAAAACATACTAGGTCAACCAAAAACCTAGAAATAGAGAGTTATTCATCCTCTATAAATGCTGTTATTCTTTGTCCTCAACATTATACATATATTATTTTGATGATCAATCATATAAATCAATTGTTCAATCTAAGGCATATCTTTATTGTATCTAATTACATGGTCCGTTTTGATGATCTCGTGATTAGGTGTGTGATGTGGACTGGGAGGAGGAAGGGGAGAGTGAAGAGGGAGGAGCGGCAAAGAAAAAAATACAGCACAAACCTCAATAACTTTATTCAATAGGCAAAAGTATCTCCAATAAGAAACCTTATTGGTGTGTTTGAATTAATGAGAATCTGGAACAAATCCTTCATTCAGATATATACAAATTTATGAATTTGGATTTGAATTATATTTCCTTTGTAATTTCAAATTCCATCCATACTCTAATTATTTGAAATTCTAGTCACTTTAAACAACTCATTTTCTTTGTGTTTTTATTATTGATACCTCTATCTATGACTCTCGTATCGTTTCTTATTTCTCGTTCTCGTTTTTCATTAATTGAAAAATAGAGGTAAACTCATCACTTTCAGTTTTTTGTTTTTGTTTTGAATATCAACTCCTTTCTCTTTACTATTTGAAATTTTTTAAACTACCCAAATAAAGGATTTTAAATACATATATTTTAAATGTGAGATTTTAAAACTAAAAAATTTAAATCCAAATTCTATCTAAGGTTATTTATAGAGCCCTAATGGAATAATTGAATATAAAATAACAATTCATACTCAAATCTGAAAAGATAATCTAGAATATGATAGAGCTCAGCTCTATAAAACAATACCACGGCAGAAATTAAACACAGAAGCCAACGAAATAAAGGGAAATTCTTAGGTTTTGACATAAATGGCTTGACAACCAAATCAGTGTTACAAGAGAGAAATAACTGATTCTGGCCAAAACCCTATTCCCTACTACTGAAACAAATTACAATGAAAAGAAACAAAGTTCAGCAACACACAAAAGGGTCTCTAACGGGTGTTCTGAGAGACCAGCACTCTCCTCTCCACTTTCTGATTCAAAACCTAGTGTGAGTGTTAACCAAAACATAAAAAAAATATTAAGCAAGCAAAAAAGCGACTCTAACATCTAGATTAGGCCTAGAGACACCCTACACACATTATGACCTATTCCATAAAATCTGGACCCTTAGGATAAGAGTCTTGATCTGCAGGAGTTTTCTTTTCCCCCTTTGTTTCCCTTTTAATTTCCTTTTATATGTCTGAACATACCCCACGGTCACATCAGAATATATTTGACCTTTTACCAAAACAAGAAAAAAAGAAGATAATCTTGATATAACCTAGATATCCTATTTCTTTATTAAAATGATGTGAAGAAATCTCAAATATTTAAAAAGATATTGGAACAAAATAAAAAAAAAATAATTAAACTAAATAATCAACTAAATCTTGCAAGCTCCATCAGTGTGATAGACATATTTTTTGGTGGAGAGAATAACCTCTTCTTAAACATTGGCAAACCTGTCATGTGCTTGTGCCTACAGTGGATGTTTGTGCAGTATATATTTAAGCATTGTCTTTATTTTATCTGCTATTGTTCTGGAACCGTGGTCAATATCTCCATTTTCAGCAGCATCCTTTGTAAGTTATGTCCTGTTCAATATGTTACAGCAAAAGCATAGCTATCGCCTTAGCATCATTTGAGTTTTGTTGTTGTATAAAAGTATTTTGGGTGTAATACAGCGTTGGATTTCGGAGGAAATAGACCATAGATCTTGTAAGCTGAAGTAGTCTAATATCTGTTCAGTGGAATAGCAACACTCGTTTCCCGATTGGTTTGATTTGTGAAATAGTAAAACCTCAAGCTCCCCAATTGTTTTTGCCCCCAAACAATTGGTTTTATTACTGTTTATACTATTAGTTTTAGTTGGAGAACTTCATTGGTTCCTAACACCACGTCAACTCCATTAAATGAATAAAATAATAAAATCTAATAAAATAAATGCACATATAATATTAATAAAAAAAAAAGGCAATACAATATCAAAATAAGATATTGTCTCTTTTTCATTCAGATAGAACCACCCAGCATCCTGAGCCTGCCCCACTTTCAATTGGAGGATTTAATAGGATCCAGACTAATTTAGATCAAGCCAAGCAAGACAAAAAAGGATTGCAATGCTCTTCCACCAAAGATTTAATGTGGCTGCTGTTAGAATAAGAAAATAGAGGATACATATCATAGGTTTTGTATAGAGTCCGCAAGCATTCTTCCTTTGTGATAGGCTGTACGAGATAGGCTGTGTTGTTAGGCTTTCAATTAGTCTTAATTACCAAGGGTCATGATATGTGTATATGTATATCCTATTACTAAGATGAAATAATATGCATTTGAACTATATTTATCCACATGGAATCGGAGCACCCCTTTTTGGTATCATTTTTCATCAGTTTATCCCCAATCTCTTTTGTCAGACTCAAGTACGTGCATTGGGGTTCCTATTCTGGACCCCCATTTCTAACACGCACCTGAAAGGATAGGATAAGCTAGATAGGATGCTTAAGGCCTATTTTATGGACTTTAAGCGAACGCATGAAGAATTAACATGCTTTTGCCTCTTACTACTGAAGTACTGATTTGAAGGTCCAACAAGCTCAATAGGAGCAAATGGCCATCATGAGTTTGCTTAAAGATGTTCTTATCTGAATATGAGACAGTGATCTCTCAAATTCTGTCTAGAACTGAACATTTTGATCTTCAGGAAACATTCTCTAGAGAGTTGCATGCTGAGAGTCTCCAAGCATAGGTTCTGTAATTGTATAGAGTTTGCAAGCAGGCTTCGTCTGTGATAGGTTGCATAGGGTAGGCTATGTTGATAGGCTTTCAATTACTCATAATTACCTAGGATAATATTGTGCATGTATATCCTATTCTTTAGATGACATAATACATACATTTGAACCATATTTCTCTACATTTATATTTCCAAAACTCAAACTTGAGACCTCCAGTTAACTAGTACAACCCCCTTCTAATTGAACCAAGTTCTTGATGGTAAAATAAATATATCACTTTTTATAAAAGAAAGTATATATCAGAAATTATACAATGCATATATCGATGGGTAAAGGTTTATAAAACATCCTCCATAATGCAATTTTATGCAATTTTTTCAATGCAAGTAAGCAAATTATTCGCCATAAATTCATTGACCAGCTTGTACTATGAGTATAAAGTATAATTAAAGAAGCCTGAAAGGGAATTTGTGGAAGAGTGAAAATGACGTAGAGAGCACACCATTAGTAATACTTGAAGAGAACAGATTAGAAGCTTTAATATATTTGATTTATTTTATAAATTTATTTTGTGATCAATGTAAGAGGTAATCATATCTTTAAAAACATGCTTGATACTAAAACATTTGAGGGTACCAAAAAAAAAAAAAAGGTGAATTGGGACATATTTTAAAATTTGTTTTCAAATAAAGTTATATGCATACATAACATAATAATTTTTTAAGGGGGCGCCATCGGAAAACTATGTACCTAGGTCCTTCCTTGGCTACAAAGCATGGAAACCTCAAGATCTATGTCCATGTCTGATGCATGGCGAACACCCATCTTAGATTCCACGACACTACGAAACACTTTAAAGTACACTTGGGCACTCCAAATTTTGTCATGTCACTGTATCTATATTTTGCAGGCATGAGAACTTGAAATTGACACTTTTTGTATAATCAAATTCATTACTCGCTAAGAACAAAAAGCACTAGTCCCACACCATTGGCTAATAAACTTATCCAACCTTCAGAAAAAAAGAAAAATGCGCCAGTAACACACAAAAAAGGAGCAAATTATTAATCTTGGCCCATTTTATCATACCAACTAAAAAAAATTTCCAAACATTAAATCCACTTGTTTAATAAATATTGTTCCTCTTACAATTAGTTTTTTTTTTTTAAAGCAATTTAATGTGTGTATGTGCCCTACACGCAGCAGGATTGTGATGCATTGTCATGAGGCCTTACATACATGATATCAAAATTGCAGAAAATAATGCCCCATAAGTTTACATGTTCAAGCACATACCTTTGGCATTCTAGGCAGAGGATGGTGAAACATGCAGGACAGCTAAGCACAGCATCAGAGTCATGTCCTCGTCTTTTCTTCTGAACCCATAATTCATCCTTAAGATCAAGATCTGAATCATAGAACTCTGGTTTGATGGAGTAGTCTATCTCATCATCAGAAACTGATATATAAAAGTAATTAACAACAAAAATGTCAGCTTCACCTTAAAAAAAAAAACAAAAAACAAAAATGTCAGCTTGACATAGACTCAACTTGTATACAGTACAGAAGACTTTGGTAAGGAATTGAGGAAATTAAGGGAAGAGAAATCTAAATGGTGTCGCTGCCTTGTTTGGCTAGACACCTTGTGTTTATTTATAATCTCAAGGGTAGTACAACCAGTACAAGCTCAGCCTACAAGAGATCTTAATACAATTAGGAGTCATTTGGTTGCTAGAAAGAATATGAATAGAATGGATTAAATAAATAAGAAAAATGAATTAAATTGCCCTTCAATACCACATAACACAAATATGGAAATCGCCATACTCTCTGCAAATCTCATGAATCAAACTAACCTTTCTCCTTCATGAACATGGTTGACATATCTACCATCTATATCTTGATTATTCTATTTTTCTCTTTATTTCTTTAATCTATTCCATTCATTTCCTTTCCAACTACAAAACGAGTAGTTAATCTAACCAATTAACCAAGCCATTGACACTCTTCCAAGACCCCCTTAAGTTGAATATTACTCAAACTCAAATTATTACATATGAAAGCCTCGTTCAGAATAACAGGAAATGATATCTGGACATGGAATCCTGAAAAGTTAGACAAAAAGCCGAGACCCACACAACTGCTCAATAGTGGCAATTCAAGAACTTTCACCATTGCCACTTAATCTAACCATGTGCTTAATCAAACAGTGTTAGATCCAACTACTTTCCTTGGCAATATAATCAAACATGTTTACACAGCCCTGAAATTATTCAACCTACTTCCATTATAAGCCCCTTTCACATTTTCTCAACTGATCACCGATCAGCATATAAAACAATCAACCATGGAGAACGAAATGTTAGGATAGGTAGGTCGGTAGATTCCAAGCAATTTTAACACATCGACGTTGGAAAGATAACTTTGAGTCCGATTAAGAGAGGTAGAGGAAGGCCTAAGAGAACACTCTTGAAAGTTGTTGAACGTGATCTCTTAATTAATAATATTTCTAAAAGCTTAATAAATGATAGAGCACAATGGCGTCTTGCAATCCATGTAGCCGACCCCACCTAGTGGGATAAAGGCTTGTTGTTGTTGTTGTTGTTGTTGTTGTTGACGTTGGAAAGATAACACCATATGCCGATGCATAGGATGATAGATAGATCTGGCTGGTTGAAGCATAGATGCATGGGAGGGAAATGCTGGAGCTCCAATCACTGGAAGATGACTCATTGGCATTGTTTGAGTCTTGTGGTAGGGCGCATGTGACATATGAAGGGTGCAAAGTAGTGGAAATGACACATATTACTAGAACCATGATTCTGCACCCACGGAAAGTCTAGAAGATTAATGAGTTCCAAACCAGAAACACAGCAGAAAACAAGAATAAAGACAATAACAACAATAAATATGAGGGGAAATTGCTGAGGTTTTGATATTAATGAACCAAGGGAACCAAATCAAAGTTACAAAGATATCCTTCGATTCTGGCTAAAACCCTATCTCCCCTGAATGATCAAAATAATACTAGCAATACAGATTACAAACATCAAAATAAGGGTCCCACTCTCACTGACCAGTCTCTCCTCACAATTCTGTTACAAAAGACATAATCCCCCCTTCACAAGCAATAAACTACTAATACCTTCAGCACGGCTTACACACAGCCCATACTACCCAAAATGATCCTAATCATAATAAAAGATCGCAAATTACTGTTCCTTACAGTCAGGGACTGAAGGATAAGGCTCTAGACCACTCAAAGTATTTCAACTAGGGTCATTCTTCACCTTTGACTTCCTTTGTTATGTCTTAGGAAAATAATGGGATTTCTCCCCTAAAAGTTTCACCTTGTCTTCAAAGGTAAAAGCTGGGAATTGTTGGCAGATCATTTCTACACATTCCCAAGAATTTTGCTCAATTTTGGATCGGCTAGCACCATTTTTCCCACTCTTCCACATCATTATATTGCCATAAAGAGAATCCAATTAACTCTTCTTGTCTAGATAGAGTATCAGCAGCCCTATTCTCCTTTCCAGGCTTATACACAGTCTCAAATTTGAATTCCATTAATATAGAAACCCCTTTTTTGCTGGTTTTCATCAACTACTCTTTGCTCCAACAAGTATTTTAGAGCCTATTGATCAAGTACAGATGATGAATTTGTGCCCCCAAAGATAATGTCGCCACTTCTTGACTCCCATCACAATAGTGATAAGCTCTCTTTCATAGATAGAGCATTGTTGAGCCCTATTTGACAATTTTTGGCTAAAATAAGCCACAGGTCTGCCTTGTTGCATTAAAACAGCCCCTGCACTGGTACTCGATGCATCAGTTTCTAACTCAAAAGGAATGGTAACATCTAGCATTGTAAGCACGTGAAGCATAGTCATGGCTGTTTTGAGTTTATCAAAAGCTTTTTCTGCTTCCAGGGACAACTTAAAAGAATTCTTTTTGAGTAAATCAGTGAGAAGGCTAGCAATCTTCCCATAGTTCTTGACAAATTGACGGTAGTATCCAGTCAGCCCTAGGAATCCCCTCAAGGATTTCACAGTCTTAGGCTCAGGCTACTTCCCCATGCTTTCTATCTTGGCTAGATCTACTTAAACCCCTTCCTTTGACACGAGATGACCTAGATATTCAATCTTTGGCTGCACAAAACTGCATTTCTTTAAATTAATTACAAGCTGGTTTTCTTCCAAAATAGAAAATACAGTCTCCAAATGCTTCAAATGTGATGTTAGGTCATTACTATATATGAGAATATCATTCAAAAATACTAACACAAACTTGCATAAATATTCTCTAAATACCTCTTCATCCAAGACTAGAAAGTGGAAGGAGCATTGGTTAATCCAAAGGGCATCACCTTAAATTCATAATGTCTCTCGTGTGTTCAGAATACTGTTTTATGCTCATCTCCAGCCTTGATTCAAATTCAGTGGTACCCAAACAATCCCAGTATCTTTGTGGGAGATAAGTGAACTAAGTCAACTCAAGTTTGGGCCCAAACTAGGTTTGCTAGACTTAGGTAACCCTAGTATCTTTGTAGTCTCCCAACATCCAATTCTTTTCATCAATACACACTGCCATTTCCATCAGTTTTTGCAAGGTAGTGGTCTTTGCCAACTTCAACTTAGACCTAATCTCAGCCTTTAATCTAGAACGAAAAGCACCAATTAAACATTCTTCTGAAGCTTCTTTCAATGGCGTAGATGGTAATTTAAATTCTACAAATTTGAGTATTGATTTCTCCTTTGCTGTGAATAATCTCTTGTACTCACCGCCCAGTTGGGAAGAGTGAAATCATTGCAGCAACTCTCTCTTAACCTTCGACCAATAACTAAGTGGCGTCCTTGTATCAAGCCATTGGTACTAATTCAATGCTTTGCCTTCAAGACATACCACTACTGCTTCAAGCTTCTCTTGTTCGGCTATGGAATATGAGGGAAAAATGCTAAGGTTTTGATATTAATGAACTAAGGGAACCAAATCAGAGTTACAAAGATACTCTTTGATTCTAGTCAAAACCCTATCTCCCCTGAATGATCAAAATAGTACTAGCAACACAGATTGCAAACATCAAAATAAGAGTCCTACTCCTATTGGCATTCAACAGGCCAGTCTCTCCTCACAATTCCGTTGCAAGACATAATCCCCCTTTCCCAAGCAAAAGACTACTAATACCTTTAGCATGGCTTACATATAGCCGATACTGCCTAAAAAGGTCCTAATCATAACAAAAATCACAGATTACTGTCCCTTACGACCAAGGACCGAAGGATAAGCCTCTAGACTAGTCAAAGTATTTCCACTTGAGTCATTCTTCACCTTTGACTTCCTCTGATATGTCTTAGGAAAATAAAGAGCTCTATCAAAGATCTACAATGTCCTGTTGCTCTTAGAAAAGGAAGAGGAGTTGTACCCAACATCCTCATGTAAGGTACATTTCTTATAAGAAACATTCTCCCCATATGAAGGCATTTGTGACTAATGTTGAAAAGGTAAATATACCTGATAGTTTTGATGAAGCTATAACCAATCCTAAGGGGAAGTAGGCTGTAGATGAAGAATTAAGGGCACTCCACAAGAATGGAACTTGGAAGACCACAAATTTACCTAAGAATAAGTCAATTGTCAATAGCAAGAGGGTTTTCATTGTGAAATATAACCCAGATGGAAAAATTGATAAGTATAAGGCTAGATTGGTCACAAAGGATTTTACTTAGACCTGTGGTATTGACAATCAGGAAACATTTGCCCTTATAGCCAAACTCAACTCCATAAAAGTCTTGTTATCACTTATTGCTAACGCAGGTTGGCCTCTTCATTAGTTAGATATTAAGAATGCTTTTTTTAAAATGGTGATTTTAAGGAAGAAGTGTACATGGAAATTCCTCTTGGTTTGAGAAATCCTACTAACTCGCATAAAGTTTGCAGGCTATATAAATCATTATATGGATTAAAATAGTCTCCAAGGGCTTGGTTTGAATGATTTACTCAGGCTATCAAGTCTCAGGGATACAAGTAGTGCCAAGTAGATGATACTTTGTTTGTTAAACATTATGGAGAACAAATAAAAGCTCTTAGGCCCCGTTTGGTATAAGGTATTGGATTTTGAGACTGGGATTGAGAGTGAGAACAAATTTTAAAATGATGTTTGGTATGCCATAGGATTAAAACAATGTTAGCCTCAAATCAAACGAAAAATAGGTAAAATCATCTTCCATTCTTGCTCGAAACCTCATCCGGTACTTCCATTCTTGATGCCTTAACAATTCCTCATTAAACCAATTGAGACCTACCAAGAGAGCTTCTATCTTGATTTACCTTTTTGAAGAGGACTATAGGAATCTGCGAGTAGTTCTCACTTTGGGGGCTTCTTCCCTGTAAACCCACCTAAGTATTGTCTTCCCCATTGTTTTCTCTACAATTTTGAAAAACTACAAAATTTTAGGGTTTTTCTCTCTCTTTGTTACCCAAGTGAAAGGGTTTGTGGTCTGGTTGTAACTTGCAGGTGAGGTTGCGCTGCTTGGTGAGAAGAGAAAAGGCGATGCTAATGATGTAGAAATGACATCGAGGCAAGGCAACCATCATCACTAGATCTCAAAGCTTCTTGCCACTGGATCTCACAACCACTTCCATCTCTTTCTCCCATAGGTCTAATCCAAATGGCAGTGGTTGTGAGATTGGAGATGAAGGAGAAGGCAATGAAGATGAAGAATGGATGAGATGAGATGAGATGAGATGGAGATAACAAGAGAGTAGAGACTGAGAGGCAAAATACATGTGTTGCATGCTAAGAACAAAGGCTATTTTGGTCAAAAAAGTTTCAATCTGAGGCTTAAATTTTCAATACCACCTCACCATGCGTTTCATTAATACCACCTACATGGGATTCATTAGACCCAAGTAATAAGGAATCTATCGTACCAAACACTCCATCGGTGGGTTTCTCCAATTCCAATCCCTGTCCTAAATCCTAAATGCTTCCTACCAAACGGGGCCTTATTATCCATGTAGATGATATTGTCTTGACAAGAAATGATGTATCAAAGATCACAAAGCTGAAAGGAAATCTATTAGTAGAATTTGAGATTAAAGATTTCAGTCCATTGAGATATTTTTTGGGCATGGAAGTGGCAAGGACACATAAGGGAATTAGTATGTCACAACGAAAATACACTCTAGATCTCTTGAAGGAAATAGGAATGTTGAAAGCAAGACTAGCATACACTCTAATAGAACTAAATCAAAAGTTGATCACATAAACTCTTTTTTTTTTTTTTGCAAAAAACAAACTTTACCCTAGAGTCTTCTTTAGATATTTGAGAATTCGATAGATAGTTGTCATGTGCTCTTTTTGAGGATTGCTAGAAAACTGACTTAACACTCACTAGAAAACATATGTCAGGTCTCGCGCATGCATTTGATGTATATATTTGGGAAGCGATAGTTCAAAGGGGTAAGTAGACAACAAGTATGTGTGAGTGAGACACTAGCTAATGGGTCATTATCTAACTCATAAAGATGAAAGAAATAATTCCAAAGAGCTATGCATCAAAGGGTAACACTTCAAACAAAGATGTAAGAGGTAACGTGATTACTAAACCACATGTAAAAAATTTCCAAATACAATTGAAATGTCAGTAAAGGGCCGATAGAAAATTTTCATTTCATTAGACGTCATGCTAGTTTCATTAGGTATTGTATATCATGTAAACTTAAGAGCATGGTATCACACACACAGTAACAGGGACTACAACTAGAAACCTAGTGCAGTTGAACCCAAACATCACAAAATTCATTAAACCATTGAAATACACTAAAAACAGAAGATAAACCAGAACATGACAGTGTGTTAACTAAATAGAATCTAAAGCAATCTCATATGCTAGCTATTGAAGCAGTGAGTAGGCAGGGGAAATTTTAGGTTACCCTTGAAATATTCTGGAGATGTCTGAGTTTGCACCTTTCAAAGTTGTTGCCATGAGAGAAAGAAAAATTCACTTCACACTAAGGCAATTGTTCAATTGTGCCCAATCCATGATTGCATGTTAGTCAAGTAATGACACAACCTCAACTCTATTGAATCCCAATGCTTTTCAAAGAGCAGATGAATCATTCTGTCATTAAGGATAGCTTTTGCAAGAGAAAACTGAGAAAGTATAATCTGATCCTTACCAAACCAAAAAAATCACGTTCCAACTTCCAAGTTCTGGTACGAGTAAGTTGGGGCAGACAAAGAAAAAAACATAAAGCACCAAATAATGGAAACTCGTAGATAGATACAAGTACCATAAAAATATCCTTCTTTCATCTTTTCTGAGCAACAAAATTTACCTAAAATGATAGAAGATAAAGGCAGGTGAATAAGTCAATTACCAGTTTTCTGAGAACTTGTAGGCGACTCAACCTTCTCTTCTTTGTTATTTCCTTCTTCCATCGCTCTCTAGTGCACATCAGTTGAATGTGAAACAGAGGGAAGAACAAAATAAAAAAACGTTAGGCATATTGTAGAATACTTCCTTTGAAAGACCTAGGATGTGTTGCAGTAGTTTGGATTTGTTTAAAGGTTTTAAATATTACAAACAATTCAAATTTCCCCTAAATTCTTGTAAAACCTCATCAATTGAGGACTAATCTTTGTTCGCTTGATCTTGAATTTGTTTTTTAGAAATGAATTTCCTCGCATTATTTTGGGACTGCATAGTAAGACGTTATAGATATGTAAACCATAATTTTTAAACCTTACCACCATGAACCTTCAAACCATAAACTAGAAGGTAATAGGCTCATGAATGTCAAATATAATCTAAGCAGCCATTTGTCTGTAGGAAAAAGATGAGAATGGAATAAAGAAATAAAAACAAAAATGAACTAAATTATCCTTCCCTTCATGGTAAGTATGATAAAACCTAACACTACCTATTACAAATATGATAATAACACAACCCAAAAACCTCATGAATCATGATTCCCATCCATGAACTAAATCACTTTTCCCCCTCATGAACATTGTTGACCCATCTCCTTCTACATTTTGATCATTTTATTTTTGCCTTTATTTCTTTAATCTATTTTATTTCTTTCCTTTTCAGCAAGCAAACGGGCCCCAAGGTATATTTGCCCAAAACAGAGTCCTGATTAATGGCTATTGCTTTCATCCTGATGATGTAGTGCTTGTCTTTCTTTACCCTAACTGGACAAAACCACAAAGTAATATTAAATGAGAAATACTTAGGTAAACCAGGTACGCCACATCATTTATAGTCTGTCCAATTAAAATACTCCAAGTACTCTAAATAAAATCTTGCGAGACATTTTTTTAATTGATTTTATTATTATAACAAAATGCGCATTTGATTTCTTGCCTTTTATCTCTCCACTATTATAAATATTAGAATTAATTTATATTTAATGCCATCAAAATATCATGTTTTTATTAGACAGGCTACAAATGACATGGTACAATCGATCTATATAAAAATTTCTCAATATTAAATAGCTAACTGTTGAATAAAGGGCTAATGGTTGATTGTGGATGACGCTAATGATCTTATTTATATTTCCAGGGCAGCCAAATATTTTTTGCTTTTTATTTTTGTAAAATTAGAGCATGCCTTACACGTTTCCCATAAATGACTTCTAATTTCTAAAAACCAAATAAAAAAAAATGTTTTAGCTGACAGATTAGCTAAATTGTCCTATACTTTTGATTATTACTTTTGTATATCATCCCCCAACACTTTTACTGGGGTTGGAGAACGACAAGAGATCTTCCCCTCCTGATGAATTGAATGGCTTGTATGGCTTTTAGTTTTTAATGAATGTTTTCAATTTCATTCAAAAAAGAAAATTCTAAAAACACAACAACTTAAGCAAAACCCGCACTCTTTATGAACATCTCTCCGATTAATGATTGAAACACTCACTAAGATCATAAGATTTAGATTTCCGTCAACGGCGATTGGTGTGTCTTTCTCTTTAGTGTCCTCCTCTGTGGTTGAGACAGTAGCTGTGCGGATGGCGCCACCAATCCAGCAGCCGCGAAAAGCTTGCAGAGAAGGCAGGGACCTGGACTCCTGGAGAAGTAAATTTTTATTTGGGACAAGCGGCCAATCGCGAATCAATTGAAGTACTCCTACACTATTTATAGAGTGGAGGGAGATGGTATGTTTTGGTTTCATTTATAAGATCCCTCAATTTATTTTTTAGTCCCTATTTAATATTAAAAAAAGTATTAAATATTAAAATATTTTATTTTTAAAATAAATATTTAATAAAAATAAAGTTAAAAATTTTTTTAAAATTTAAAACAGAGTTAATAAAATTTAAAATTTTTTTAATTTTAATAAAAACGTTAAAAGTAATCTATAAATAGAATTAGAGAGAGTATTAAACAAGTCATTTTTATATTTTCATTAGCAAGGCAAATTGACCATGCTGTGAGAAAAATTTTTATTTATCACCATATTACACTTTATAAAATATTTATTAAAGCAAATTACAACGACCTTCTCTTTATTTTATTAAAATTACATACTTTTTGTTATTTTTAAAATCTATATTTTAATCTAATTTCTAATACCTTTAATAATATTCTGTTGAATATTATAAAATATTTTAAATTTAATTTTAAATTATGTTAAAAACTTAAAATTATTAATTTTTCCTTTAATATAGTTTTATATTCTCTTTCCCTCAATTTAAGAAACTTTAAATAATTATAAAAATATTTAAATAAATAATTCAGAAATATTGTGTTGAAATTAAATAAATTTAAAGAAAATAAATATAAATTATATTTATTAATTTATTTTTATTATATATTACATCACTATTTCATTATGTTTGTTTATATACATGTTTGAAATATTATTTTAGAAAAATTTTGTGTTTATATTTGGATTAATGAATGAATAGGACCTTAAACTCTTATTCGAAAATCGTTATAAATCCTGAATCCTTAAAATATATAAAACAAATCTTAAATTTTTAAATTTATAGTAAAATAAACTCTAACCGCTAATTTTTTAACACTGTTATTGTCCATGAAAATATTCTAACAGTTAGGGTTAAATTCATAGAAAAATAAACCCTGAACAGTACCTGCATAGATAGTAATTATGTTAAAAAGTCAGCGGTTAAGGTTTATTTTGCTATAAATTTAAAAGTTTAAGGTTTATTTTGCATATTTTAAGAGTTCAAGGTCTAGGGCAATTTTTGAGCAACAATTCAGGGTCCTGTTCACTTATTAAACCTTTATATTCCTTAAAAAATTACTAAATAAAATATCCAAAATTAATTAAAAAGTTTAAAATATGAATAAAATTTTAAAAACATATGTATTAATTTTTTTATATTTTAAATGATTTTTAGATAATACTTCAAAAGGGCATTTTGGTCTAATATATATTACTTACTGGTCAATGTGGATGAAAATGAATTTTTGAAAATAGAAAGAAGGTTTGTGTTTTGAAACTATTAATTCTAAGGATAGTTTATATATATTTTTTAAAAATAAAAGGGATGTATTTGTAATTAAGATAAATTAGAAGGGAGGTCAATGTATTTACTCTATTTATTATGATATTATAAATTGTAGCTCAATTTAATACATTCTAAATTTTAAATTCTTTTTGTATCAGACTTTATAAAACTTGGCTTCTATCAAACTAAATTTCGCATAATTATTTTTTTTAGAAAAAAAAGAAGCCACATGGAAAATATGCATGGTTCTCTCTCCCTGTCATCTCACACACCACAGCGCCTTTTTCTTTCATCATTTTCCACAACAACCCCCTATTTAAATGTGGGCACTTTTCTTTATAAAAATTTAAACTTTGATTTGTAATATTATAAGAGACTAGTCCCTTCTAGTAAACCTAGCCCCTCATTGATGGTTAAAAGACATTTTTTCCCTCAACTATTTGTTCAGTGATATCTGATTTCCTAAACTTATTTTTGATGTAAATTCTCCTTTGACAAATGAATACAAAGAGACAAGTATTATTACTTACCCAAATAAATATAATATATTATTATTTTACTAATAATTATCAAACTACTAATATTTTGATATATAATAATTTAAATAATAGCAAGTTTATGATATCAAATGTTACTTGGCAAAACAATAGAGGGAAAAAATGTCCTTTAAGGAAGCGATTAGTTTCTTAAAATATGACAAATCAAAGTTCGAATATCTACTAATCCAAAATGGTAACATCATTGTTTCCAATATAAGGATATTAGTGAGCCATTAAAAACCATTTAACCATTTAATTTTTAAAATTTATATAATGTAAATTATATATATATATATATATATTCAAAATAGTTTATATTAAATCTATATTAAATGTATGAGGGGAGGGGGAATTGTTTGCAATACAAGGGTTGATTGTAGGAGCTACTATGGAAAACAATGAAAGAAAAGGGGATGTGATGTGTGAGATGATGAGGAGAGAGAATCTTGCATACTTTTCACGTGGTTTTTTTTTTTAAATAACTATGAAGAACTTGGTTTGATAGAAGCCAAGTTCCATAAAATTTGACACAAAGAATTTGAAACTTGGAATGTATCAAACTAAGTTGTAATTTATAGTATCATGATAAATATTTTATAAAATGTAGTATCTTGGTAAATAAAATTTTTTCTTATAGCATGATGGCTAATTTGCCAGTTTTCATACCATAGGATACTTACTAGTTTTTGTTAATGGGCCAATCAACTATCATATTATGGGAGAATCTGACTTAACAGACTAAATCAAAGAGAATAGTTGATGTGAAGGAAAGGCAATTAAGAAATAAGACTATTCGCCTAATTAAAGTGATATAGAAGGGAATGACTCCCGAAGATGCTACTTGAGAGATTGAGGAGATGAGATAATAGTATCCCCACTTATTTCAATGAGATATGTTTTCATATAGTTGTTTGAATTTTAGGGACAAAATTTTTAAAAAGAGGGGAAATTTAGAACATCCTAAGAATTTAACCCTGATTAACTAAGCTAAATTAGAGTAATTTGGTAAATTAAAGTGGTGTGTAGCTATAGGGGTCTAACAAGTATTTCTAGGTGTGTGGCTTTGGATTCTGTGTCAAGTCACCCAAACCTTAAAAAGGGAGAAAATTAAAGGAAAATATTTTTGTGCCACATGCCATGGCATGCAACATATCCGCCACGGCACATGTGTGATAATTAGCAAAGGGGGAACCTCTTTGTGCCATTCATCGTGGCACATGTTGTGCGAGCCACAACACCTAGTCAAATTACATCAGAATTCAAAAACAAGGAAAAGAAAGCAAAGTAAATGAAGAGCTAAAGATTTGCTCTAATAAGGCTTACAAAGTTGGAGGTTTGGGAGCATTTCTAAGCTATCAATCGCCAAAGGTAAGGTTCCTAAATTCCTTCCCTCTCTTCCCCTTCTATTTTCTTAAGATTTGAGTTAAGGTTTGTAATTGAGAGTAAATTTCGATCCTTAATGGATATAGGTCTAAACCTATTGACTTTAACAAAGTTTATAAGAATTGTTTAGGTTATTTAAACCTAACATTTGTTAATTTACTTGTTTTTAGGATATAGGTGCCATTAATACCTAAAAATTTCTTATTAATGAGGGTTGTTGGAGATGTTTAAAGGCCCTTAATGACAATGGGAGGATACCTTGATGTTAAAATGAACTAAAGAAAGTCAACGAATCCAAAGGGTATGTGTTAAAGTAAGAGATTATATTTTTGGGAGTTTAGAGGTGTTAAGACAAATGATTGTGAATTCAATTATGGAGGTATTAATGATTTTGGATGAAGGGTAAGCTTTTGACCTCTTAAAGGTTTAAGCTAATTGGAAGAAATTTAGTTTATGCATCTGTTTGTTAATTGATTATACGTTGAGATAAATTGTTTGAAAATTAAGTGATATTTGTAAACTCATATTTAATGAAAAGTGTGGCAATGTGACTAAGCGTGTGATATGTTAAAATCGATGAAAATGATTTATGTGTATATACATGAGCTTACATGATTGTTATTATTGAGTAAAAGCATGCATACATAGAAATGAGAAAATATGAGATTTAATTGTGATTTGAGACATTAGTTGAGCATGGTCTAGTAAGATTGATGTTAATGAAATTGCATGCTATATGTTGATGTTATGTGCATGATATGATCACTTATGGCTAGAGTTTGCCTAATTAGAGGAGTAATGATAAAATCCATGTGTTATTGGCTGTTTATCATTAGAATCAAAAGCTAGCAATGCTTCCAATAATTGCAATTGGGAGTTAGCCATTATCCCACTATTATTAAGGGATTGTCCCACTTGTTCTTTAAGGGACTCAAACCTAACTAATCTTTACTGGTTTATTAAGAGGCTACCTTAAGTGTGCAACACCCCATGGTTGTTAGTATTGGAAAAAATCGTGACTCACAAGTAAGTGTAATAGCTTTGGTCGGGTAACTCTTCATAAGTAAAAAGTTTGGGTAATCCGAGTCCATGGACATAGCCCACTAAATAACCATCGATTTCATGTCGGAGATATCAGGAGGGTATAAGAATTATATTGATCATGCATATTATATTCTGACCACATGGCATAAGAAGTTCGCTATGAGAGCTGTCATTGATAGTAGAATTATTGTCAAGTTTGTACAATGTGCTATGGCATATGGCACAGAAGTAGATGTGTCACGACATATCTGCAGTATGTTGTGATGCGCTTGTTATTTTGCTGAAATGATTTTTTTTAATATTAATGCAAATGCTTTAATACAAATCAAATTCCCATGATTTCATAAACAAGTTTTGCTTTGATTTTGATTTACGAAATGGTTTTAAAGCGTTTTAAAATTTTAAAAATTTGGGATCTCATTTTTTTTTTACAAACTTAGTAATCCTCTTGGATTATTCTCATGATTACCTTAGGCTTCGTTTGGTATGATGGAAGAGTTTTTGATAGAATTGTAATTAAAATTAGAATTAGAATTGGAATAGAATTAAATTTAAAAAAAGTGTTTAGTATGAAGATGGAATCCTGATATAATTTTAATAAAAATATGTACTTAAAATTTGAAAAGACTAAATTGCCCTTTTCAAGATTAATGATCTTCTTTCTCACCCTCGATACTATCAGCTCTTCTCTAGTTGGTACCCCAATGCAACAGTAGCTTTCTGAAGAATTTGGAGTGATGCAAGGG